AATTATCCCATAGCATTTCACCTGGCTTAGGATTTTAAAGGCCAAAATATAGATTAGTACTCTATGCCCAATTGAGAACATTCTGTTAGATGTTATTGAACTCCTGGTAGAAAAAGTGAATATATTGTATTGAGAATCTTCATTCAGACAGACAAGGAGCAATGATACAAGTGGAAAACTGTCATAGGACTGAGCGTGGAGCCTGGAATAAAGGCGGAGCACAAGTGTCTACCAGCAGCTCACCTTCCTTAAGCATCTCTCCCTCTCAAACTACAAGGTATGCCATTTGTATTTATAAATTAGTGCTAAATTTATTTTCTTCCAATATCTATTTCCAATATTTCCTCATTGCATTAAGTGCAGCAGGAAACGTTGAACCTAAACAGTTTTATATCTTGGAAGTCAAACTTGGCTTGTTTTTTACAGTGGAAGGGCCAAGATTTCAGCAAGAATGCTGATGAAAATTTGGCAGGAAAGCGGCACCAAGACAATATATAAATCAATGATGTGTGACATTTCAGGAACAGCATTGTTACCATCTTCAGACAAAATGCTGAATGAATTGTCTGAAAATGTTAATAACAGTTTTAGTGAAACATCACATGTTATTTATTTATTAGGAGAAGAAGTCTTGTTATCCTTTAACCCAAATTGTACTAAAATAATCTGCCAGGAAAGAAAGATAAATTGATATAAACACAGCCTCTTTCTCATATTAAAAGAAAGGCAATAACCCATGCTCGAGCAACATACAAGTTTTAGACAGCAGGAGTTTAAAGACTAAGATCTGAGGATTGGGAGAAGAGACACGTTAGACTGGTACTTACATGGATGCCGCTCTTTGAATCATCTCTTATGTTGAGGCTCTCCCTTGTCCTGACCAGCAGGTCAAAGAGTTCCTCCTTGTAGATCTGTGGACACAGCCGCGCATTGTACTTCACTATCCCACAACCTTCAATACCCTCCATTCTGCTGTGGCTTTATGTTCAATAGATAATATAATAAAACAATTTTCAAATTTAACCCTACTTACCATCTTCTTTGGCTTTGGGGAAAACATGGAGAATTCCCAATTCTTCAGGGACTTTCTGAACTGGGCACGATATCAGACAGGATGAGAGATGAATATAGAGGTCAGGATAGAGAGGAAACAAATACCTGTATTTTATTTAGGATATTCTGGCTTCGAAGAATGTCTTGGGCTTTTTCGCGGAGTTCCGGATTATCATCTGGGGTTTAAGAATCTTCGAGGTCATTGATGGAAGTGCTGGAACACTGTGAACACTTGTTGTTACCTGGTCAGTTTGTTATGTAGTAATTGGATGGGGAGTGTATATATGGATGTGATAAGGTACAATTTGGATTATAGATCGGAAACATGAAGTAATAAGCCCCCATATCTAACTGAATAAATTATTCAAGGCTTTTCAGTAACTGTGTAATTATCATCAGCAGACAAAAGTTCTGTATCTTTTCATTATTCATTTTTAGTAAACATTCTCAGTACATTTGTCTGAAGATGTAACAATGCTGTTAATCAAACACCGGGGGTAATTTATTCGTTAGGTCATATTACTTTATTTTGGATTAATTCTATTCCATTTTAAAACTGTCTGGTTTAGACCAGAGTAATAAACAAAAATGGGCGAAAATCTCTCTCAATATAAGATTATAATATGTTTTTTATTTATTTATTTATTACAAAACACACGCTATATCCTATGTGGATATTTGCATGTAAATGTTTAATATATTTTATGTACATAGTTTTTAAATATATATACAAATTATTTATAGTTTTAGAGAGAGAGAGAGAGAGTGAAAGTTATTCAAATTTACATTTTAGAACAATAAATTATACAAGAAACAAAGATTATTTACATACATATTATCAAAAGTCCAATATATATTTAGAATTACAACCACTAAACCAGTGGTACAAATATACTAATTGACACTAGAAATTTCAATCCTTAATGTAATTCAAGTCCACGGCATTTGAGATAGAGTCTACAGAACTTGTTAAATTTTCTATATTCTTCTTTACTCGAAACCATTTGGCTTAAAGTAGAACTGTTCATTTGACATTGTACTCTCAAATCATCAACAAGTGAGCACCGGATTAAAATATGCTCAGGGTTGTGATCAAAATTATAATATGTGCCTGAAGAAAATATTTAACACGCTGAATAAAAACAAGAGGAACGTCAAGTGATGTTTTGGTAACAACATTAGATATACACTGTTACAATATATTTTACAAATTAAATAATTGCTGTAATTACTTTACGAGAGAGAGAGGGGGTACTTCTCCCGCTTACATAAACCATATATAATGCATTTTCTCTGCTCATATTTATATAAACATATTATCCATAACGTTCATGAAAATAACCAGCCTGTATGCCATGGTTTATGGTCCTCATCAGTACAGGAAGGTGGGTGGACTTCAGTTTTCCTGAGGTCCTACTGGGAGAGGCGTCTTTTCACACCTGAGTGAAATAGGGGAAATTTATTTTTTAAGATAGACCAAAGGTTAGAGTGATGACATGTACTACAGTAGATGACATTGTCACAAACAACAAACCTGGTACTCAACGACCGTGGTGACATTCTCCTGCAGGAAGACGAACTTCACCTTCATCTTCAAATCCTGGTCCAGCTCAGAGATCTGGCGGTGCAGGTCAGCCTGTAGGATCTCGGACTCATTCTCAAAGTTGTCCTTGTCTACTGCCGGGGGGGACTGTTGGGGTTGCTGGCTGTCAACCTGGACAGCTGCACATCTCTGGCTGCTTCTGTGGACTATCTTACAACAGATTGGTATTTCATCTAATGGCGAACACTGGACAAATGACAATAGGTTCCAGCTATTGCAATCAATATAACAATGAAAACTAAAGATGTTTAAAAAGGATACTTGAAGTAAAGAAAGCTTCATATTCTTGCTTATAGTTAATATATGCCTGTTTTTCTGTAATTAATTCTGGGAAAACCTTGAAAATGGCAAGTACGTCAAGAAAATCTGGGTTTCATTTATACTTTGACCCGGCTAAATACACTCACTCTTTTTTTATATAAATGAATTATCTCTCTCTCTCTTGATAAAATAAAATTTAAACTTACTTGCGATCTTTTTGGGCTTTGGGGGAAACATGGAGAAATCCCAATTCTGCAGAGACTTGATGGCCTGGACACGATGTCAGACAGGATGAGATATGAATATAGAGGTCAGGCTAGAGAGGGTGCAAGTACCTGTAATGTCTTTAGGAGGCTCTTGACAATGAAGAATGTCTTGGGCTTTTTGGTGGAGTTCTGGATTATCATCTGGAGTGATAGAATTATCGAGGTCGCTGATGGAAGTGCTGGAACACTGTGAACACTTGTTGTTACCTGGTCAGTTTGTTATGTAGTAATTGGATGGGGAGTGTATATATGGATGTGATAAGGTCCAATTTGGATTATAGATCGGAAACATGAAGTAATAAGCCCCCATATCTAACTGAATAAATTATTCACGGCATTTCAGTAACTGTGTAATTATCATCAGCAGACAAAAGTCCTGGCTCTTTTCAGAGTTTATTTTTAGTAATCATTCTCAGTACTTTTGTCTGAAGATGTTAACAATACTGTTACTGAAACATCAGCCATAATTTATTCGTTAGGTCTTATTACTTTAGTTTGTATTAATTCCATTCCATTCCATTTCGAAACTGTCTGGTTTAGTCCAGAGAGTAATATACAAAAATGGGCGAAAATCATTCAAAGATTATATGTGCCTGAAACAAAAATGTAACACGCACCAAATTAAAACATGGGGAACCACAAGTGATGTTTCGGTAACAACACATCAGTAATACACTATTACAAAATATTTTACAATTTAAAAAAATTCTATAGTTTCTTACTTTATCAGGATACCTCTCCCATTTACAAAAAAAAAAAAAAACATATAAACCATTTTCTCTGCTCATATTTAGACAAATATAACGTTCATGAAAATAACCAGCCTGTACCCAGGCGGCCATTTATTTTGGGGCTAAGTCGGGCCTACCACTGAGTAGTGCTCCCAGTCTTCACCCAGTATGGAGGTAAGAAAGAAGAAGACCAGCCTGTATGCCATGGTTTATGGTCCTCATCAGAAGGTGGGTGAACTTCAGTTTTCCTGAGGTCCTACTGGGAGAGGTGTCTTTTCACACCTGAGTGAAATAGGGGAAATTTATTTTTTAAGATAGACCAAAGGTTAGAGTGATGACATGTACTACAGTAGATGACATTGTCACAAACAACAAACCTGGTACTCGACGACCGTGGTGACATTCTCCTGCAGGGAGACGAACTTCTCCTTCATCTTCAAATCCTGGTCCAGCTCAGAGAGCTGGCGGTGCAGGTCAGCCTGTAGGATCTCGGATTCATTCTCAAAGTTGTCCTTGTCTACTGCCGGACTGTTGGGGTTGCTGGCTGTCAACCTCGACAGCTACACATCTCTGGCTGCTTGTGTGGAATATTTATTTCATAACACATTTCATAGAATTACTAATACTGGTAAAACATTAATGACAAATGTCAATATTTAGGTCAAGTAGTGGCAAATGATAAAATAAATAAAAGACAAGGGAAATAAATAAGGTTAGAAAATACCTGAAATAAAGAAAATGTCGTCTTGCTTATCTCTTAAGTAAAAATATGTGTTTGCTTTTGTAATTAATTCTAGGAAAACTCCTCAAGATGGCTAGTACATCAAGAATTTGTGAGTTCAAGAATAACTGGATTCCACTTATAACTTGACCTGGCTATGAACGACAGCACCTTTTTGAAATATAAAAATGATTTCTTTCGTTTTCTTGAGAATTTAAAATTAAACTTCCTTACCATTTTCTTGGGGGAAACGTGGAAATTTCAAACTCTTTCGAAGGAATTTCTATCCTGGGCACAATATCAGACAGAATGAGGGTTAAATATAGAGGTCAAGATGGAGAGAGAGAGAGCAAGTACCTGTATTGTCTTCATGAGATTTTGACATTGGCGGAGTTCCAGGTTCTCGCCTGGGTTGATAGACCTATCAAGGTCGTTGACGGAGGTCCTAGAACACGGTGAACACTTGTTGTCACCAAGCCAGTTTGTTATGTATTAATGGGATGCTGTGTGTATGGATTATTATAAAGTGATAAGGGGTCAATTTGGATTATAGCTCAGATAAAAGTGTTTCTAAATATGAAAAAGGTCATTTCACTATATTACGATGCACTAGCGCGCCATCTGTTATGAAAATTAGAAACTATTTTAGACGCGTAAGATTCTTTTTGAAATTAAACAATTTCTACTGCCCTTACTGCAATGGAAAAATTAATGGGAGGGCCTGGCTCATCAGTGGTGAACCCTCCCAGCGGTGTCGCCAGTTTAATCTACCATTTCGATGTTATATTGCTTTTTTCGATCTTCCTTTTATAGTGATACTGTTATTAGACTCTTGGAATGGGTATTTTAGATGAACCAGGTCCTCCCATTGATTTTTCCATTGCAGTAAGGGCAGTAGAAATTGTTTAATTTTTAAAAAGAATCTAACGCGTCTAAAATAATTTCTAATTTCACTCTATAAATAAGATTCTTGCAAATGTCCAACCCATCAGTAAGTGCTAGTAACCAAACGGGGCTCTGGCACCTTGCAAGTGCAATCATAAAATTGATTTAAGTTTCTTTACCAAGATAAAAATGCCTACAAGCGTTAGCTCCATCATCAGGCCAGTTGGTTCGCCAATGCCTACAATTTATATAGAGGTGTAGTAGGAAATTACATATTTAAGGGTTTAGCTAAATTCTAAAATACTTCAAATATTTATCATTAAAACTGATACCAAATATAACGAAAAGAATTTTGAAAGCTATGCTAAGTAAAATTAATGATATACATTTATAATATGATGCTCCATCTTTTATGAGAAATTGTAACTGTTTTAGACGCGTATGATTCTTTTAAAAATTAAACAATTATATACTACTGCCCTTACTGCTATAAAAAAAATAATGGGAGGGCCTGGCTCATCAGTGGTGAACCCTCCCAGTGGCCAAAATATAAAAATAATTAAGAAATTGTTGGATAAACGGATAACAGATCATTACTCCTTGGGTAAAATACTGTGGGTTTATCTGCGTGTTGAGGGTTCTGTGGTATTCTTCGGTTTATATATGTATTGTTATTGGTGTTTCAGATAAATGATTACAGAATAAGCCTATTATATTTTAAAATAGGTTTTGGAAATAACATTTTACATCCTGTAGGTTGAATTGATGGCCGGTGGATTCTTCAAGCTGATATGCTAATGATTTATTGTCGTGATTTGTAATGTTACGGATGTGTTCTTTGATTCTGGTGGCGACTGATTGGCAGGTTTGTATTATATATGAGGCTGTTGTCAGAATACTGGATATATAGCATTGTGCGGATTTCCAGCTTCTATTTCACTGTGGGATTTGGTAATTGGGTTTCTTATGATTTGACGTATGGACTGAGAGTTGCTGAATTAATATCTTATGCCGAATTTCTTTAAATCATCAAGTCCGTTTTAGATTGGTTGTAAAATATTCCAGGTAACAATTGGTTCAATATACTATCTGATTTTTTGGGGAGGAATTCGTTGTAGGTGTTCTTTAGTATGAATTATAGTAGGAATCCGGACTTTTGTAGGTTTCGAAAGATATTGAGATTTTCTATTTTTTCAAAACAGGTAGAAAGCAATGCGTAGTGATTCTTTTAGTTGACATCTTGAATATTTTATGACTTATATATTGGACCCGATGAATCAAAACTAAGATGGTTCTCTATTCCTCTTTTTGTAATAAACTGTAGAATGAAATCTTTGCTCGGTTCTATAAGGATGAGTATATCCAAATAAGATAGTGCTGCTTTGATTTCTGTCTTCATTGTGAATATAATATGGGAGTTGTAACTGTTCAAAGTGTTTGAAATTTGATTATCTGTTTCAAATTCACAAAAATACATCATTGAAGTACCAGCATCATTTCTTCAAAGCTATCGATCCATATATATAAATTTAAAAAAATGCCCCAATGGCCCCCGATTCTTGCAAAAGTCCAACCCCACCAGCGAGTGCAAATAGCCAAACGGGGCTCTGGCACATTTGTAAGTGCAAATCGAACTGCTTTCCACGTGTGTAGGCATGTGGTGCACTTACAGTAAAAGCAGTCGCCTACTTCTATTCACCATGATTATCATGGCCTGTACCACGTGTACTTGGGATAAGCAAAAAATAATAATAATAATTTCAACATGACTATCTATAAAATGAATAAAGCTTCGAGAGCTAAGTTTTTTGGCTATCTATGCAGCTGTTATTGATATTGGGCTCCCTATGGAGGAACCACAAACCTGTTGGTAGATTCCATCTTCAAATATAAAATAATCATTGAGAGACATAACTGGAATAAAGTGATGACTTTCTATAGCATCGATCGAACTTTGACTTAATATCCTTCAGATTGTCTATTGATATGGAATAGACTAAGGAATAAAGATACAACATCAAAGAAACAAATTCTACACTTTTATATAAATTGTAGGTATTTGCGAAACAATTGGCCTAATGGTGGCCTAACACTTGTTATTTTAACTTAATAAAGAAACTTATTGAAATTGGTATTGGTATATTGTGATTAGACTTTTGTAATTATTTTTAAGAATCTTTAGATAAATTTGCTTTCTCCCTTACATGTGAAGACATGCGGTGCAGACTTACAAAAACAAATGGACGTTAAATACCTCATCACAATTTCTCATGTAGTACTTCATATATTTACCAGGTTAGGAGGTAAAATGTTTTCAAGAAGCTCCATCTAGATGGGACACCTGTCAATCATCCCTGGACCCCGGGGGGACCACAGGTGTGAGGGGTTCTCGGTAACTTATCTGCAAATAAGGAAAACGGGACGGTGGCTGACGACGCTCATCATTATTATCTTTACCTTGGGGTAAGTTGTATTATTATCTGACCCTCTCTCTCCCTATAAATACCTTTTTTAGATAATTTTATTGGAGAACTAGAAGGTAAATACCCCCCTTTATAATAAATTTATTATTCCCAAATTTGCCCTTGCTTTATTTATCTCCGCGACAATATATATAAACGCTTTCAGACTTTCAGGCCAAACCGGGAAAATAAAAAGAGAGAATTGAGTAAAGCATATCAAATATATGGCAGAAAGGCCACAGTACTTGTGTCACACTTCGTTTTGATTTCTTCCATTCACACAGACATATGATACATGATGTTATTTGAAGTTGTAAGAGAATGGATGAACACAAATAGGAGTAGAGAAATGAGGTATTAGACAAGTATTTTGTGATGCTGAACAATCCAATGAAGAGTCATTATAGCTATGATAGATACTTGGGTTATATAATTTCATAAAAACCACGAAATCGTAAGGCGCGAAAGGTTTAAGTTTATAAAAGAAACCTTTCACCTAATGATTTCGCGATTTTTATGAAAGGAACTATTTAATACATCATCCACCTAGAGCCAAATATCGATAAAAATTATAAACATTTTAGCGCTACTTTTCTTCCAATTTATACACTGCGTGACATTGAAAATGGAACACCAAGAAATAGTGGCCAGAAAATTATGCAAATTTCAGGGTAGACGCGCCTAACCGAGTTATGCAAATGATGTAAAATGCGCAGCTCTCGTGCGCACATGGAGTAAGATATAAGGGAAGGAACTTGCAGAAAGGACAGTATTGGTGTCGTTATTTCTTCAAGGAAAATCATTGTAGAAATTTTGTTCTTGTGTCAAAAGACACGTGTAATAACAGAGAATGCCAGGTCATCGTAAACGGAGGCAGTTCAAGCAGACAGACGCTTTTACGAGGGGCATGGTGATCGGACTGAAAAGGGCAGGTTGGTCCATACGTCAAATCGCAGCTGATACACACCTTGGTGCGTCCACGGTGCACCGACTGTGGAGAAAATGGTTGGAACAAGGAAATGTGACATTTTATAGGAATGCCGGTGCAACCAGAGTGACGTCAGCACGTGTGGATCGGCGTATCCTTCGACAAGCAGTGGCGGCCCCACAAGCCACTTGTATCGCCATCCTGCAACATGTGCAAGACACCCTAGATCATTCCATCTCGACCAGAACCATTTCCCGTCGATTGGTTGCTAATGGCTTGCACTCATGCCGTCCGCTAAGAAGACTGCCATTGACCCCACCGAATAGGCGCCAACGTTTGGAATGGTGCCGGGCTAGATCGACGTGGATCATGGAATGGCACAGGGTCGTGTTCTCAGATGAGTCGCGTTTCTGCTTGTCCAGTGATAGTCGCCGTGTACGCGTGTGGTGTCGACGTGGAGAAAGGTCCAATCCGGCAACAATTGTGGTACGCCCCACCGTGAGACAACGTGGAACCATGGTTTGGGGCGCAATCGCGTATGATTCCAGGTCACCTTTACTTCGTATTCAGGGCACTATGACGGCCCAACGATACGTTGATGATGTGCTGCGACCGGTGACACTCCCCTACCTTCAGGGGATACCCAATGCCCTTTATCAGCAGGATAACGCCCGACCGCACACTGCTCGCATTAGCCAACAAGCTCTGCAAGATGTACAGATGCTTCCCTGGCCACCGTACTCTCCTGATCTCTCACCAATCGAGCACGTCTGGGACATCATTGGACGCCGTTTGCATGCCTTGCCACAGCCGCGTTCAGAAGACGAACTGTGGCAAATGGTTGAGAGGGAATGGAGAGCCATCCCTCAGGACGCCATCCGTACTCTGATTGACTCTCTACCTAGACGTGTTGCTGCGTGCATCGCCGTCCGCGGTGGTCCTACTTGCTACTAAGCCGACGCCGTTCTCGCTCTGTATTATGACTATCATTTTGAAATAAAGATCACTTATTGTTCGTCCCTGTCTCTCTCTGTCTGCCGAGTTTCATCACTTTCTGGCCACTATTTCTTGGTGTTCCATTTTCAATGTCACGCAGTGTATATAATCACTATTTATTTCTACAGCCCTTATTCTGAAATGAATAAAAATTGAAAGAGGGACGGAATGGCTCATCAATGGTAAACTTTCCAAGCGGTTTCCTCTTTTTAACCTCCAGACCGCATCACTATTGTATTGAACTCAGTTTCTTATATACCCTGAACTTACTATTGAATACAATAAATTGGTGTTTTAACTACAGTCAGTTCTCCTCCTACTGCCCTCTCAGGTACAAGGTACACACATTAAATAGTATTTCAGCAAATGTCAAAACTTGGAAATCACTTATTAATTTTGATACATTTTCACAACCCATCTGAGAGTATAAACCCCCAGTTTACCAATCAATATGTAGTATTCCTCATTCATCTGACTCATTAGCAAGCTATCTCAAAGTTCGCAGTAGTTCACTAATTCAAACCAAAATTTCCATACATAGGTAAAAAAAAAAAAAAAATACGGGGAAGACGATAGGCTATTTTAAAAAATATATAAATCAATTATTAAAACTATATATTCAAATTATTCTACTTACCTCACGAACAGCGCCTTCTATCAAAGATTAGATTAAATTATGCTGATGCAAACAAATAGATAATGCTAATAACAAACAATCATAAAAGAATCTTATATAAATATATATCACTCGGGTAGATTTGAACACGGGTCAATCCCGGGGCGAAGCCCGGGTCACCCGTCTAGTAAGATTATATAAGGTTAAATACAGAATAAATATGAATATGAATAAATATGATTATATAATGATAAATATATGAATAAATAGATATAGATATATAAAACAACTAGCGGACGTACCCGGCTTCGCCCGGGTTTTACCCGAATAAAGGTTTGTCTAACGAATCTCTCGATAAAGTGAACATTTTTTCCCGGTCCCTTGAAAAATACTCTAAGTTGAATAAAATCAATATTAATTGGTTCCCTCGGTAATTGGAAGTAAAAGGAATAGTATCTTGCCTTGGAATTGTATCATTATTCTTGTATGGATGTACCCGGCTTCGCCCGGGTTTTACCCGAGTAAAGGTTTGTCTAACGAATCTCTCGATAATGTGAACATTTTTTCCCGGTCCCTTGAAAAATACTCGATAGGTTGAATAAAATCAATATTAATTGGTTCCCTCGGTAATTGGAAGTTAAAGGAATAGTATCTTGCCTTGGAATTGTATCATTATTCTTGTCTCAAATAAATTGCCGTGTCATCCTGAATTTTGTCTTTCCTAATTTTCTACATTACAAAATCATCGTATCATCATGATAATATTTAGAGCAGATTGTTGAATTATAACAGATAAATTAGAATATTTATCTTGAGTATTTTTAGGCGAAAAGTTATTTCAAAAATTTTATTTGCTAGAAACCTTCCCAGTACTATATTAAATAACTTCCCAAAGTTTCATGGCGTTCCAATGAGTGGTTTGGTCAGGCATAAAGGACAGACAGACACACATACATTCATTTATATACTAGCGGACGTACCCGGCTTCGCCCGGGTTTTACCCGAGTAAAGGTTTGTCTAACGAACATTTGTTAAAACAATTCTCTATAAACTTATATATTGAATATAGAGCAATCCATAATATGTTTATATTTTAAAAATAAGGCTTATTTTGGATTTAAATAAGATTATTTATTTACCGATATTTCGATGGATCAATCTTCCATCTTCTTCGAGGTGTTTTGTAGTGAAGCACGCAGCAGGTCGCGCGCCCCAGGTGAGCCACTGGACGTCTTCTAAGCTTATTGGGCGATAAACCATCTAATATATACATTCTAAACAGAGTAAATATAATCAAAATAAAAAAAGTGATATATGTAAATGACTATTGAAAATTAAGAGATATCGAATTAATTAATGAATAAGTGATATATGTAAATGACTAATGAAAATTAAGAGATATCGAATTAATTAAACAAATAAAATATAAAAATTGAAGTAACTGTGAAATAAATATACAAATAATAGTAATAGATATCTGATTAAAAATGGAATAAAATAACCATGTAAATAGCATGATCATCTAAGAGGTTCTAAATTGAGTATATACATCTGGCAAGTCAATCTTTCTATTGATACTATTTTTATTTTCTAATGAGCTCCAGCTTTCTAAAAATAAACGGCAATGCTTTTCTTTGATGTTTTGATGTATTATAGATGTGTGATCGAAGTCTGGAGTGTGACTATTGTTGAATGCATGATCTACCAGTAGAGATGTCGGGTTATGGTGCTTTAGTGCGGATTTATATTGGTTAATTCTTTCAGATAAAGGTTTGCTGGTTTCTCCTATGTATATTGCCTGGCAGGATTTGCATGGTATTTTATAAACCACATTCGCTCTATCTTCTGGCTTGTAGATTTGTTTTGTATCTGTCATAAGGTTACGGTAGTCAAAACACTGTCCAAGAGGTTGACTACACATTTTACAGATAAAACTGATGAAAAAATTGAAAGAGCTAGATTATTTCAAGAACTTCAAAGCAATAATTATCCTAAAGAATTCATCAAAAAGCAATTATATGCACCAAAAATTCCATCCACGAACAATAGACAGATCTCAACCCCGAACATGTTTTGCTCCCTACCTTACAGCTATGGCTGTGAAAGAATAGCCAGAAGTTTAAAAAAACACAATATTACAACCAGATATCAACCCAACCAGAATTTAAGAAACATCTTCCGCCACCCTGATACAAAACAAATCTACAAGCCAGAAGATAGAGCGAATGTGGTTTATAAAATACCATGCAAATCCTGCCAGGCAATATACATAGGAGAAACCAGCAAACCTTTATCTGAAAGAATTAACCAACATAAATCCGCACTAAAGCACCATAACCCGACATCTCTACTGGTAGATCATGCATTCAACAATAGTCACACTCCAGACTTCGATCACACATCTATAATACATCAAAACATCAAAGAAAAGCATTGCCGTTTATTTTTAGAAAGCTGGAGCTCATTAGAAAATAAAAATAGTATCAATAGAAAGATTGACTTGCCAGATGTATATACTCAATTTAGAACCTCTTAGATGATCATGCTATTTACATGGTTATTTTATTCCATTTTTAATCAGATATCTATTACTATTATTTGTATATTTATTTCACAGTTACTTCAATTTTTATGATATTTTATTTGTTTAATTAATTCGATATCTCTTAATTTTCATTAGTCATTTACATATATCACTTATTCATTAATTAATTCGATATCTCTTAATTTTCAATAGTCATTTACATATATCACTTTTTTTATTTTGATTATATTTACTCTGTTTAGAATGTATATATTAGATGGTTTATCGCCCAATAAGCTTAGGTCGGAATTGGAGGCCAAAAATAATATGCCACCGATTGTAATTAAATCGACGATAGGACCAACCGGCGAGAAACTATGCATAATCGAAGCCTCCTTAATAACGAAGATCCTAGACAAATGTGGAATCGAGTATAAACTTGAGGAAACGGTTCAATCAAAGAAGAGAACTCGCGGCTCCCAGGATGACTCAAGATCGCCAACTAGGAGCGAGCGTAATCTGAAGACGCCTAGAATGGACATCGACGAACAAAGTCCCGTCACTGGAGTTTCTCAACAAATGAACGCAGCTCACCCACCGCAAGACGATGAAGAAAATAACGACAACGATGGCCCATGGACCACAGTCACTAACGTGAAAAAGCCGAGAATTCCTCCTGTTATTGCAGAAAATGTAGCAGATTGGAAGCTTCTTTGCCAAGAACTAAAAGACTTGTGCATGGAACCATTCCAAGTCACGATTTCTGGCAAAAAGCACATAATTAAATCGAAAAACATAGGCGACTTCAAAAAAATCAGGGAGTATGTACAGAAAAATAATGGAGGATATTCCTACAGACTACAGGAGGAAAAACCACTGAAAGTGGTATTGAAGGGGGTATCAACAGCCTTCAAAGAAGAAGACGTCGTAACTGAACTGGTTTCAATGGGCTTCACTGAGGTCATTGTCAAAAGACTCCATAGACAATCGACCAAAATACCGATGAATATAGTCCTAGTAGAGCTACCGAAAAATGAACAAAATAAACGAATCTATGGAATAACTGAAATACTTTACCAAAAATAGTCGTGGAATCATTCAGGACTACAAAACGAGTGACCCAATGCTTTAACTGCCAGGGCTTTGGGCATGGCCAGCTAAACTGCTTTTTGAAGCCCAAATGCGTCAAGTGTGCTGAAGAACACTATTCGAAGGATTGTCCAAGAAAGTCGAAACAGCTCCCACCAAAGTGCGCTAACTGTGGAGAGGCGCACACAGCCAATTACCGCGGATGCCCAAATTTTCCGAAGCCACAACAACAGCAGCTAAAGCCTCCCAGACAAAACTCCCCTAACAACATACCTCAAGCAAGCTCCACTAAAACAGAAGAAGCAACTGTTGAAAAACAAAAGGCAAGTTACGCTGAAACTGCAAAAAATAAAACTACTCGTTCTGACACCAAGGAACTGTGCGAAAAGTTATTAGAAATTATCAAAACCTTCTTACAATGAAAGGCAAATTACTTTTAAAAATCGTTAATTTCGCAAAATAAAATCGCAATTTCAAAAATCATCAAATCCAACTATACAAGAATTTGTTCAAAATCAAGGTGACCTCAGCCACCGAATCCGACGACCTGGACCCAATGGCTAGCTGACAGCCAAACACCCAACAACTGCCCTCCTGTAAGGTTCGGGGGGCCACTCCAGCATTACAACTCGCCATGTGTAAATAATCTGGACAAGGTGACTCGCGAGCTGTGCTCGAATGTAACACCTGCAAATTGAGATGAAATAAATAAATAAATAATAAGCTTAGAAGACGTCCAGTGGCTCACCTGGGGCGCGCGACCTGCTGCGTGCTTCACTACGAAACACCTCGAAGAAGATGGAAGATTGATCCATCGAAATATCGGTAAATAAATAATCTTATTTAAATCCAAAATAAGCCTTATTTTTAAAACTTATATATATATAAAAAAAAAGATATATTTTGATAATTTGAAAATCGTAAATTTGAATCTCTCGATAAAGTGAACATTTTTTCCCGGTCCCTGTGTGCCGTGTCATCCTGAATTTTGTCTTTCCTAATTTTCTACATTACAAAATCATCGTTTTATCTAGTGAACATTTTTTCCCGGTCCCTTGAAAATACTCGATAAGTTGAATAAAATCAATATTAATTGGTTCCCTCGGTAATTGGAAGTTAAAAGAATAGTATCTTTGCTTTGGAATTGTATCATTATTCTTGTCTCAAATAAATTGCCGTGTCATCCTGAATTTTGTCTTTCCTAATTTTCTACATTACAAAATCATCGTATCATCATTATAATATTTAGAGCAGATTGTTGAAATATAACAGATAAATTAGAATATTTATCTTGATTATTTTGAGCGAAAAGTTATTTAAAAAATTTTATTTGCTAGAAACCTTCCCAGTACTATACTAAATAACTTCCCAAAGTTTCATGGCGTTCCAATGAGTGGTTTGGTCAGGCATAAAGGACAAACAGACCACACACACACATACATTCATTTTTATATATATATAGAAGAAGATATATATAGATAGAATGATAAATATACATACATATAAATATATACAAGTCGTCATTGGTTACCCCCCACTGCGGGAAAGACCCCGCCACCAGTGGGCTGCGAGAGTTCTTTCCCACAGAGAGAGAGAGAGAGAGAATATTGATTATAATTTGAATCATTTGAAGGAGTGTCTTCTATGACATAAACTAATATGATCACATATATATAACGCTTGTAAGATAATATACAGAGAGAACATGGTATTACAGGCTACTAACCATAGTACATGAATTTTCAGCCCAAGAATGGATATAGCAAGCAGACAAACCGTAATTCACTATATCAAAGTACCAAGGTGCTACACGCTACCAAGATTGTTCATAAAAAGGTTAGAAGTATGACTTGCAGATAACTATACACGCGGAAAAGTTTTTCTGTTGAAGGGTATCTTTGTCTGAAAGCTAAAGAAATAAAAAAAATAGCACCTGGCCTTGTTTATTTTTATTAAAAAGTAAATGAACTAGATAATGAATATGCGTACCTCCTCCGTACCATCAAAACCCAATGCCTGCAGGAATGTAAATCTAATGCTGCACATGACTGGTACAGAGCAGGAGGGACAAGCACCGGTACTGTCCTCCCAAGAGAACAACAGTCTTTGATTTCCAGACTTAAGTCTGGTCATCTACGGACAATGACTTTCCAGAATGGTTGCAGTGTTTTTCTAAGTGCAATTCTCAGCCTGCAACCCCAAGACACATTATTGACTGTATTGACTCATCCCTTAATGAGCTGTACTCTTCCCTGGCAGACACCATCAAAAGTCTCAAGCTTTACAAGCTTGATACCTTAGTGTGATTGAGTGGAGATGAGAAAGAAGAAGATAATGAATATGCTTCGAAATAACAATTTAATGAAAGACTGTACAATAATTATTTACCAACCCAATATCGTTTTGTCTTTTAGATGAACTTACCATCTTGATGAGACACCATATTTACATGAAAAGAGTATAAACATTTATCAATGTTCGATTTATCAATGATTTACATATGCTGTAAAACTTAACATCAGACTTAGAAATGATCAAAATACTATCTCCAATGGGAAATTATGCAAAAAAAAAAAGACAAGGTTGTGACAACTTTAAAAAATAGATACTTCAACTAGTTAAAGTTTTATTTTCTTTTTAACTAAAACTTTAACTGGCCGAAGTGATTAACTGACCGAAGATTTTAAAGAAATATGAATGCCAGCCTGGCAAAAACTCTATCTTCAAGATAATAAAAATAGGTCGTTCAAAACATTTTTAGGAGTGGAATGACATTATATTAGAATAAAATTTAATAATTATTTTTGGCATCACACACACACACACACACACATGTTTCTCCTTACATATATCATTAATATTATCATAGACCCAGAACAGCAGCTTTACACACCCAAGATAGTGAACATTGCTACTGCTGTGATAGAGATGAATGGAGACATCTGAGGCTCTTCATTGGACACGACAACAACAACAACATTAATATTATCTCTACAGACCTTTTTAAATGCAATAAAACAAATTATCTCAAACGATAACGTTTAGCATTGCAGTAAGGTATGTAGAGATAAGATTTGATGATATGTGTGAAAATAAACATTGTGAAAAATTATTATTACAAAATTTACCGATAGATGTAATTGAATTAAAATACATTAGAATATTTTATGGAGGACACAAAAACAGTTACGTCTGGTAACTTATAGAGGACAAGGATCCAGAAAGTTGAGCCAAAGGAAAGAACAAATGTCAGTATTTGATGCTGATGATTTGGCAAAATACAAGATAAAATTTTACACAAATAAATTTACTGGAAATGCGTTTCTTTTTTAAATCTCTACAGACCTTAAAAAAAGAAACGCATTGCCAGTAAATTTATTTGTGTAAAATTTTAACGATAGAGGGCAATAAAATTTAATTTACTAAAAATACAAGATAATTAAACTAAAGATAAGGAAAGATCAAATATGCGTAATAAACTCTGAGAGAAGAATTACAAAAACAAGAATCAGAACTAAACATTATAACAACAACAACAACAGCTTTATTAGGACATTTCCGTCCTGTAAGGACTCGCCATACATCATTTTTATGGAGAAAAGGGGGGAAAAACATAAACAAAGGAGAGAAGGGAAACGGAAATCAAAGTATTCAACATAACTATATAAATTAACTATGGAAGGAAATTGTTCTGTAATTACTAAACAATATAAAGGAATGACAATACATCCAGATGGCACAAGAACCTACAGGACATACAAAATTTGTCCTGGTGTGAAACTAACACCTACCTACATATTCTTATGGCCGTAGCTTTGCAGAAAATTGGAATGGACCCAGAACAGCAGCTTTACACACTCAAGATAGTGAACATTGCGACTGCTGTGATAGAGATGTATGGATACATCTGAGGTTCTTCATTGGACACGACAACAACAACAAGGATTTAGTGATCTTTGATGTAGAGAGAGAGAAAAAGTTTTCCTAATATTTTAAAAGCCTTAAATAAATATAATTGTAAGATCTATATAATGAATCTTTATACAAGCATAATAGAAAAAATCAAAATCTTGAAGTGTATATTAACCATTTCCCCTCGTGTCATTTTGTACCCGTAGAAGGACATCTTACCAGAAAGCTTGTACAATCATCCTCTTATATAAATAATCTCTTCTCCCTGACTTGTGTTTATTTTTCTATAGTGAATAGAAAGATTATCGCTGTGTTAATAATAAAATTGTTCATAAAAATGTTCAATTGAACAATATCAATTGCTAGAATTGCCGAAAACTTGATGTACCTTGGAAAAGGTTGGCTTTCATCGAATCAGTATAATGGTAAAGTAAGCAATTTTATTCTACAATATATACTGTCTTCTTTTATAATAAGTTTAAACGCGCGATCTTCTTCAAGAAGGGTAAATATTAAATTAAATTAAACATACCTCTCTCCTTATGTCCATAGTTTGATACCATAACCAAATTCAGCACTGAATATCGGATATATAGGTAGAATCCTTCACTACAATAGTAGAGATATAAAAAGTGGTATATGATAAATACAAGGGGCGTTCCAGAAGTAATGCTTATAACTTGTACTCCACACGAAAGCGCCTGCAGCCGCGCGATGATGACTTCAGGTGGAACGTAGCCGTGGAAGTGGTGAAGGATAAAACTCAGAACAAGGTTTTTAGCCGAACAGGCGCGAACGACAAGCCGCGAAAGAAGTGAGGCCACCTCACAAGGCCGTTCGGCAGACGGTTGAAGGCTGCCACTATCTGGTC